CCAGTGAAGCCTGCTTCTATCGAGGCGATTGTTCCTCAGGTATGGGAGTTTCGTTCTTTTTGTAAATGTTACCAGTGTGGTTTTTGATGAGTTAAGATTCAGTCCCGCACAGTCCGACACCATTCCTTCGTGGTTCGGAGTGCTTTTTCTATAAGGTCATAGAGTATTCCTTCGTGTTTGCCTCTGACTATGATGACAATATCATCGGCGTAACCAAGGCAATTGCAGCCCTGGTCTATCAGTGTATTTAGTAGATCATCGACTACTAGACTCCACATCAAGGGTGAGAGCACCCCTCCCTGTGGACATCCTCTCGTTGTGGTGACTTGTATGGTTTGTTCCCCCACATCCGTTTCTGCAGTTCTGGTGGCTAACGTTTCACACATCCAGGTGGATGTGGTTTTGTCCACTCCTTTTCTGACAAGCGCATTCTTTATTGACTCTGGGCTGTTATTATTAGAATGTTTAATTCGTTCGTGATACACTCTGAATCACCCTCTGTTTCTATTGCGTTGGGGTAGTCGGTTACTTCTGCTTTTAGTAGGTCTTTGTATAGAACCCAGTCAGTTTTGGGTTTTTATACTCGAGAAGGCGTTTCTCTGTTACCTCTATTGTTCGTCGATTTTCATCTCCTCTTTCCGTATGAGGAGCGAGGGGGTGAAGTATATGGCAAAAACAGGTGTGACGACAGGAGACCATTGGCGTTCTAAGTAAGGTGCCACCAGCTCACATTCATTTCGAGTATGTTTAAAATCGACGGATTTTACATCGAATCTTATATGTTTATGATCCGACATCGAGATTTCGTTGGAGACGTGCCAGTTTTTAATTTGGTTGCTTATGTGTGCGCTTGCCAAGGTTAAGTCTAACACTTCTTGCCGCACACTGTTTGCAAAGGTGGGTTTGTTACCATTGTTGATAATGTCTAAGTCATTAGAGAACAAATATTCAATAAGATACTCACCTCTCTTGTTGATGTTTGTGCTGCCCCATATGGTGTGGTGGGAGTTGGCATCACAATTAACCGATTATAAGGTGTTTGTTCATCCTTTCGCAATAGCTGACAAGTCGTTAAACGTCCTCTGGGAGTGAATTTGTCTTGTCGTCTCCAGGAAAGTAGGCCGAGGCAATTACTACCTCTTGCTTAGCCCCTAAAGTTGGTGCCTCTACAGTCCCTGCAGACAAGTCCTTGTATATTAACTTACATGATTTTGTTGGAAGTCCTTTTATTCGTGAATCATGGGTCCATGGCTCCTGAATGACTATGTCCAGTTGTTCCCAGTTGAATCTGCAGCTAAGCACGTCTGATGCAGCTTTTGCGTGTTGCAGATTCACTTGTAACACTTTTCAAGGAGCCATTATGATTGCTCCTTGCTGGGACCTTTATAATCCCTGGTTTAGTTTTGGTTTTTACCCGTTGCAGTTTTGCCTTTTCCTTGGGGACATTTCTCAGTCCCCCTGGGGTCTGCCGCTTTCGACACAGACGCCCCGGCCGCCGGAGCAGCACCAGTTCCAAGCACCTTTTTTGGGACTGTCCTTTGGGGTCCTCCTCTCGGCTTCAGCCGAAGCTGGCCGAATCGGTAGGCCCCCCCGAAGTTTTCCCTCTCTAGGTTTTCATAATGGAAATGGTTAGCTGAGCAGAGGTCCCCTTGGTCACTCTATTGAGGACTCTCTAGTCCTCAACGCTCAGTCCGTTCTTTTGGCCTTTGAGAAGACCAAGTATTTCCTCGTTGAGGCCATTTGCACTATTGGGAAAGTGTCCCACAAAGATTTGCGGCCGAGAAATTCTGGATTCCTCCATTGCCCTCAGTGCAGCCTCATCCCAGGGCTTTAAGCCGCCGTTTAGAATAGCCACTTACTTGTGTCTTCATCCTCACAGGTGATCACCACAAACCCTGGTTTGAAGGTTCAGGATAGGAACTTGGGTTTTACAACCCCATCCTTTTCCTGCAAAGTTTTTTGCAGAAGTGCAGCCTGGGTAGCCTCAAGCTGTTCCGCACTGAGCTGCACCTCTGGAAAGGCTTCATGGGTGATGCCCACCTTGATGCCTTGAACCGCCTGTTTGTAGGAAACCGCGGCTGTATTAGGTTTGGGTGGTGACTGTTGCCTCTGGGCTTGAGCCGTCAGATCGAGCCTTTTTGTTGGAACCTTTATCGGACTGCTCTTGCTTTATTGGCTGTTCTGCCAGTTTTCGCGCTTCCTCACTGCCGTGGCCTTTCTTAATAAGCCACTTGAAGCGCTTCCTCGCGGCTCCACTAAGGTTCTTGCTTTTCAGCTTCAAGTCGGTTAACGACTTGCAAAGCTTCTGGGAGGTTGATGCCTCACTTTCACGAGAGAATGTTGACTCATTTTCTGGAACGGCAGGGCTTTTAAGCGAGCCCATTTCCGTTTCTGCCTGAGTCTCAGTATTTGGGACATTGTTGTCCCCTGAATGTATAAGGAAGTTACATTCCTTTAAAACCCCTAGAAGTTTTTTTACTGTTGGATCATTCATATTGAGTCCCACGAGTATTGGGGAAGTAAAAATCGCCTGTAGCAGAGCCCCATACTACCGGGGGCAACGTGAAATCCTGGAGATTGTCTGGTACCCGGAGTTCGCAAGCTATCGACCAAGTATCCCCTTGGCCATGCAGTCTTTGGCACTCGTTGTTCCACCTTGACTTGGGCAGATTATTTATTATCCGTGCTGGTTTTACAGTTTGAGGGCTTCTGAAGTAGCCCAACAAACCGGCATCATTTTATCCCAGTGCAGGCTCTTGTCCACGATACGACAATTGGGCTAGGGAATGTTTTTCAACCTTCCAGTCTAGATCCGTGAGATTTAGTTTCAACAGGGTCACCAAGAGAAAGATGCAGCCAGTAGCAGCACATCCCGATCTTGTTGGGATACCTACCTCACGGTTTTGGAAGCAGAGGCTAGTCTCTTTCCCTGGGACCCGGATTCATCCCGATGGAGCTCAAACTCCAGACCCCCTTCGACCCCATTTCTAGGATAATGTAGATTGCTCTTGTTTGTCACTAGATATTTTATTCTCCTATTAATTAATTAGGATTCCTACATCTTCCATGGGTAATGTGATTTTTTATTTTTTTTTTTTGTTTTGGTAAATGATATACCCTGGAGAGAATCGAGTAGTTTTTCTCGTGCAGTCTTGTTTCGCTCAAGCCTAGAATATGACAATTGATGTTGACCAGTCCTTCTTTGAATTCTTCCCCGAGGCTCCTCCGTATGAAAGTTGCTAGTGGATCACGAGACTCAATCTCGTTCAATCAAGAAATCTCGATAGTCGATTTCTCACGTCGACTCACTCGCTCTCCTGAATTAACATTCAAAAAGATCAGAGACAATGATTATTATAATGTAATCGGTATAGGGCTGCTAAAACAAAATTGCTAGACTGGTATTTTCCAAAAGTTCACGATAATTAGGATGAAATTTCACCCCTTAAATAAGCTGAGTGAATTCTGATTCTACAGTATCCTCTATTATCCTCTAAGTATATTTTATGTTTGGCTGGAAGTTGGATTTGGGTCAAATAAACATAGAGAGCTAATTTCTGTCTTGGTAGGCGTTTAAATTTAAATTAAGAAACTAGTCTAACTATAGATAATTTTTATTTCTCTTGTTCACCAGGCACCTGAAACAGAATGGAAAGTTTGAAGCTCACCAGAAGACCTGCTCCACTATTGCCGATATAGTTATTTTCCTAATAAGTATCGTTCGACTATCACCGCAATCGCGTGCGGAAAAATGCTATTTTCCGCACGTATTAGGAACAAAATTATTTCTACGAGCACTAGTGCGGAAAAATTACTCTTTTTACACGCACGTTTTTTTTTTTTAATATAAATCTTAACTGATAACATACATATGAATGAGAAGTCAATATTTGAAACCACTATGTTGTACCTACCCTAGATTAGGAATGCGGGTTTTTTGATTGCCTTAATTTTGTCAGCCTCAGGCGGTGATAGTTTCAGACGTTTTAATGCAATATTGAATGAGAAACGGATATGGAAAAAAAGTTACCCGTCTGGAAAGAAATAAAAAAAAATATGAAAATTGATGCATAGACGAAAAACCCCTTCACAAAGGTTTCTCATCATTTCTCTCTTTCAATATCGAAATTACATACATAGAAAGAGCCATTGATTGCACAAGATCGTCAGAACCCAATTTTTTAGCAAACTTATTTTACCAAATGTTATTTTGCAGTACCTACCTAATTTAGAATAAGTTTAAAAATACTGAAGTGGGCTTGAATAAAGTTCTTTAGCCTTTTTTTGTTTCTGAGAGAGATAGATTCAGTCAAAACTTGATGCAAATCCATTACAAATTTTCAAAAGAAACTGAAAATTTTTAAATTTCCCCAATCTTAATTTTGTGAAACTGTAATACTTTCAAGCATTCTTCGAAGGAAATTCCTTCCGGACAAGATGATAAATTCAAGAATACAAAGGAAGAAGGAAGAAGTAGGTACGTGAAGAAATTGGGAGGGTTTATCAGGAAATTGATACTGTTCGTCAGAAATTTGCAACTTTTTGTTAGGAAGTTGGAACTTTCTGCAAGAAATAGATAATGTTCAGAACTAAATTTAAGCTTTGGAATGTGATTTGAGATCAGGAAATATCTCAGCTTCGTATGAATGTTAAACCTTCATCATACGACGGTCAGATTCAGATATCATGGGCGATGTACAGCTTGTTAGTTCGAGACTACGTTTATTCTTAAAAGAAATCTGTTGTGCATGAAAAATGGTTTTTACACCGGTAGGTACCCATAAGCATATCGTTTACTACAATTAAACAACAATATTAACCTAGTAAAAAACAATAATTATCAATTAAAAATAAAATAAGTACAAAAACTGTAGCCATTGACAATGTAGAAGTCCATTGTCAAGGTAAAAGCCCCGGCCAACTTTCTGTCCTGGTCCGGTCGATTCGCATGCATCCTTTTCCTTTCATTTTATTCCGGTCGTACACTTACGTGGGTACAGAAAAAATGTAGCATATAAATAGAGAATCGCGTGCTCAGTTACCACATTTGATCTTGATTTAGTGCAGTGTAATTTGATTTTGATCCATCAGCAGCTAATCGTAGCTTACGAAAATGGCTTCCGGATATTTGGTAAGTTAACCTAATGATTTTTGGGGGTTGAAAAGTTTGACTTGGAACGATTTTTTTTTTGAAAGTACCTACTCATGTTTTTTGGGTGTGGCTAGCTTTATCTCATAACTTTATTTAAGATTACGACGTTTCAAAAAGATGCACTTATACATACTTATATTAAACAAAAATTTCTCTTAACCAATAGGCGCCTGATACTTGAAAACCAGACCGCAGTTTCATTCAAAGTAATGGAAGATAAATCCTATAAAATGTCATATAAATGATATGTAAAACTTTTTGAAAAATCCCATATTTGAAACACTTCAAGTCTCATTAATATTATATTATTATATTTATAATTATATTTATATGCAACCCAAATAACCTACCTAACTTTTGATCCACTTTATTTTTCAGATTGCTTCTATTTTGGTCCTAGCCCTGTTTGAATATTGCAGCGCCGGTGGACATGGAGGAGGGTAAGCTTAAACACTTTGTTGTTTTTTGGACAATGCAATCTAAATTATTCAAATGCCCACCTTTAAATAATAGTAATTAAGATACTTTTTATTTTTCATTGAAAAGTATATTGTTGTCTTTAACTACCGGCCGCTCTCGCATGTCTTCACGCTTTCTTCCCTCGGAGCTTGTTTTTGATAAAAGCATTAGAAGCTTGAATGCAATAATTATTTAATTATTTTTTACATAATCTAGATACGCAAATTGAAGTTGAATCTAGATAGGTAAGTTTTATCCTAATCGATAATCATCATAATTAATTATTTTCTTTTTGTCTATTTCATAACAAATGGTCACAAAAATCAATTTTTATGGTTGCTGGTTGCCATATTTTACGAATATTTCGGGCTTTTCTAGCGAAGGGCACATATTAGTAGTAGACATTTTTCTTTCCAGATATATTCTGGATATTATTGAGGATATGCAGTATCCGTGTCCTAACCCTTCGATGCATTGGGCCCATTGGAAAGTTATAATCGTATTATGATCTTTGTTGATGTGGAAAACCTGGTTTTCCATGTTCTATGACATGATATTCTTCTGCGATTCTATTTATATTCACCTGCCCATATCTACTCATCGAAATTATTGCTAGCCCCCGGTAATTTTCACAGTTGTTCTATCACCCTTCTTATATTGTGAACATATAGGATATTTTTCATTCTTCGAGAATTTCTGTCTTACTAAGAAACTTTTGGAATAACGCCGTGAGATGTTCGAATAATATTTTCCTTATTTGAGGAGTTGTTCTGTGAACCTGGAGCTTTTCTATTTTTCAATGGCTTGCATACTCTCCTTAATTTATGTATTTTCATTCTTATTGAAAATCCGCGGTCCCGAGCAAAATCGTGTATTCCCAGAAGTCGCGCCCGTACTTCGTCGACGAAATCTCGGATTTCTTTTCGTTTTTCTTCAGATATCCCAAACATCAGATCGCAAGCTAACCTGAGTTCTCTTCCGAAAACGATTCTGGCTGGACTTTCACCTGTTGACTCGTGAACAGCTGCTCTGTAAGCCATTAAAAATAAAGTCAAATGTTTGTCCCAATCTCGCTGGTTCTTTATGACCACTTTTGTCAGGTGTTCCTCTATGGTCTTATTGAATCGTTCTACCATGCCATCAGACTGTGGATGTAAAGGTGTTGTCCTTATCTTACGAATGCCCATGATCTCACAAATTTTCTTAAAGATGACAGATTTGAAGTTTCGTCCCTGATGTGAATGTAACTCTAGTGGTACACTATGACGACTAAAAACTTCGTTCACTAGCACCTGGACAACAGTGATGGCTTCTTGATTGGGAATAGCGAAAACTTCTGGCCATTTACTGAAGTAATTCATGATAGCCAAGATGTATTTGTTACCACGCTCTGACTCAGGGAACGGTCCGGTAACATCTATCGCTATGCTTTCAAATTCTTTCAAATGGTAGACCGACGTTGTACTGTTTCATGGGCCCCCAAAATCTTAGTTTAGAGCCTTTACTGATAGCACAGATGTCGCATTTTCGGCACCAGTTTTTAACGTCTTCATGGTAGTGAACCCAGTAAAAACGTTCCCGAATTTTGTTTAAAGTCTTGTTAACTCGAAAATGTGCCCCTGAAGTTCCGTCATGTTTTTTTCTTTTAATACATCTTCCACTCGGTCTTCTGGGATAACCAGTTGGCTCTTAGTGGATTTCCCATCGGCACCCAAACTCTTTCAAACAACCCATTTTCTACGGCCAGAGATTTCCACTGGGACCACAGCGCCTTGTAAAGCAAGCTCTTCTTTGACACTTTCCTCCATTCTGGCCTACATTCATTATTTTCCTTAAGAGAGAGAATTTGCCCGATGTCCTAGGGCCGGTATTCTCGTTACCGAAAACGCTCACCGCTTTTCAGTCGCTCGTCACTTTTAATGCAAATTTACATTAGAAGTGCCAAGCGACTGAAAAGCGGTGAGCGTTTTCGAGGACCAGAATACCGGCCCTGGTCTGCCTCCTGATCTTCTCTCATTTGTTTGGTAGTTCATTTGTCATCAACGATCAAGTGTTTTTCTCATGCATGTTTCCAGGTCGATGTTTAGGGCCGGCGTCTCTAAACCTCCAAAAGCGTTGGGAACGATCCGTAGATGGAGAGGACATCCTTAGTCTACAATCCCATTGCATGTGTCCAAGCTTTTGGCACCGGTAACATTTTACTCGGTTTCTCGGTGTTGATGTTTGTTTGGAGTCGTTTTCCATTTGTCTAATTTCTCATAAGATTCCTGAAGCTACCATCTTCTTTTGACGTTTGTTTATCCTCTGGGTCTTGAATGGACACTGCTCATATTCTGGGTCTTGAGGCACTAGAGATTACTTCCAGTTCTAATGCTCGGACAAGGGCCTCGCTACTTTTCCTGAACTTGGACATTTTTAGTTTTTCCTGGATCTAGGAATCCCGGAGACCATCCATTCCTGCATGTCTTCTCCAGCTGCAAGAATCGCCAAACTCACTAGTCTTTTAATTTCCGATTCGAATTCTTGTAAACTCTTGCCAGGTCTTTAAATTCTTGATTTTACTTGAGTTCTAAATACTTCTTGTCTGTAATGGTCTCCGAAGCGTAATTTTAACGTCTGACTTAGATGCTGATAATTTTGTTGGTAGATTGAAGGAATTGACTGAAGAAGATCTAAGGCAGGTCCTCGTAGCGCCACTATCAGTGCTGTAGCTTTTTCTTGGTCGTTCCATCCGTTGGTATTTGCAGCAGCTTCAAATTGTCGGATATACATGGTCCAGGATGTAGAACTGTCAAAAGTTTTTGGTTTTATCTTCATACTAGAGAATGCCCCAACGCTAACTGGATCGATGAACTGTATTTCTAATTTATCACCTTATCTTCAAGTTCTTGAACTGCTTGAACTTGGTCCTCAACTTCTTGCCTTAATTGCTGAACATCGTCTTTAACTTCTTGAACATTCTCTTTAACTTCTTGAACATCGGCTTTGACAACAGCTTTTACTTCCTGAACGTCGTTTTCAACTTCTCGAACATCGTCTATAACTTCGGCTTTTACTTCCGTAATCTTTTGTTCCAGATTAGAGACAAATCCGTGTATGGTTTGAAATATTTTCTCTAGTTATCCAAGGTCTTCTTGCCGTTCTTTTTTGTAGCCTGGCCTCCGCGTCTTGTTTTTCTTGTTGTCGTTTTGTCTCTTGAACTTCGAACATTTTGCGCAGAAGTTCTTCAACTTTTTGTTCTTGAATTTTTGGTTGTTGTCTCGTAATAGGCATATACAGGATGTTCTGGAATTTCCCTCAAACTCACTTCAAATATCTTTCCTGGTCTTTGCTTGAAGTTCTAAACACGCCGGTGAAGTCACAAATTGAATAACTTGCTTTATTCTCGAATAGGATGTTCAGAATTTTTTTGAAATGTCTTTTCTGGATGTCGATTGATATAGCAAACACGTCGATGAGGTCACAAATTCAATATCTCCCTTGGTTCCCAAATAGAGTATTCTAGAATTTTCCTGAAACTCCTCGAATTTTTTTGTTGAATGAAGATTGATGTATCGATTACGTCGACGAAGTCAGAAATTCGATATCTCCCTTGGTTTCCAAATAGAATTTTCTAGGACTCACTCGAAAATTCACTATCACAGTCAAAATCGGGTATACAGTCACTTCTGGGACAATTTACACGATCGGTCAAGTCCCTTCTAGTGATTGTCACTGTTTGCACTAACTGTCCCAGTGTTCACTCAGTGTTCACACTACACTAGTTTCCCCGCATTATTCTGACTTCTGACACCAATGTCACGGCTCTGGTGTGCGTGACAGAAATCTTGGGTTCGTTGTTCGTTTATTCCAAAATCAAAGTCCAATTACTACAGCAATAATTTATTCCACGTAACTATACACTCTGACACTAATCACTTTGATAACTAACTCAACAAATAACAATTAAACTCCTTTATAATTCGCAACAATAATCACTATTCAAATATTATAACAGCCAAACTTATACTTAAAACTTCCAAGTGAGACCGGCCTTTATAAATCCCTAAATCTATTCATGTACAATCTAGAATACACGCGATAACTATCCTTTTCAAAAACACCGCAAAAATCCCGCTAAATTGGGTTCTTGACATCCTGGTGGCGGCTTTATTATGGCGGCGGCGTTATCGTAGCAGTATTATGAGCTTTGTTGATGGTCAAGCAAATAAAAGCTTGACAGCTTTCACTAGTTCAGCATTTATGTTTATTGATTCTAGGCTTTTCCAAAGCTTAAGAATACAGACACAGGCTTCTCTAAGATCTATTGAAAGTAAAAGTTAAAACTTCTTGTGGTCTATCCACTTTTTTCTCTATGACCTGGAAAACCTGCTCTTCTGATTCCATGTTCTATGACATATGGTATTCTTCTGCGATTCTATTTATATTCACCTGGCCATATCTACTCAACCGGAGGTGTTCTTATCGCCCTTCTTGAATATTGTGAACATGTAGGATATCTTTCATTCTTCGAGAATCTCTGTCTTACTAAGAAACTTCTGAAATAACGCTGTGAGATGTTCGAATAATATGTTCCTTATTTGAGAAGCTGTTCTGTGAACCTCGATCTTTTTTCAACGACATGCATACTCTCCTTATAGTTCATGTATTTTCATTCCTATTGAAAATATTTCCTAAATTGTTAGTTGTTCTGTTCTTGATGTTCTTCTCTCTTCCAGCATTTTCCCCTCTGGTTCATTTGTTGTCTTTTTTCTTGTTTCATAGGTAACCACATTTCTGAACTCTTGACAGATTCGCTCGCGATACGTTTTTTTTTGTTCTTTTATATTACATTTTATCTTCGACTGTTTTGGAGCTGCTATCTCTTCTTTTTTTGTTGATAAATCTTCTGCAAGTTCTGATCTTATCAATATATGATTTTTGTGTGTGTTATCTTGATAGTATCCGAAGGCTTCGAAGGTGGCTCCATGCATACTCTGTT